TGACTCATTAGTAGTGCGAACAGCCATGCTCCAAATCCCTGAGATGCGGTAGGCGTGGCTACGTCGTCCATATGAACGTGTGTGTGGCGGATTCCGAAGCGAGTGGTTAATGCCGTTAGTTGTCGTTCTCTCATTCTTCTCATAATGTATCACCTGAAACAAATCTGTCTTCTACTGTTTCCTTCCCTTCCACTTATTTTTGAGAAATTTTTCAATGGATTTCGAAAAAAGAGGATTCAGCTCTCAGAAAGCTAGCACTAGTCATTTCTAAACTCTTTGACATCTTCAAATTTATCTGTGCAGTCGCGAGCTAAAATATTTTTTGATGGGGTTTGATTGGCTGTGATGAGGATTTGTAAATACCATTACTCGCGTCATAACAACAGCTACTCAGATGTCCACAAGGTATGAATATCTCCCACCACGTCTATCACCAAGGACCCGGGATCTCCTCCAGAGACGACGAGAGCTACGTCACGGAGATCCATTTCCTGGGCGAATTTCCTGGACAAATCTGGGCGGGAATTTCACACGCCTGTACCACTCAACTGATGCTTTGATGTACTCAGAATTTTCGTAAAAATAAACTTAACGGATTAACTAGGGGGAAAAAAGACAGTGGTTGGTCTCGTCATATGCATCAGAGCACAAACTGCATTGGACACAAAGTTGACATATGGCTTTTGCAGTGAATCAGGGTTGCTGTGATAGAGCATAGATCCTTTCACGTGTAATGACCCACCGCAGGACCCAGTGAATCAGAGACCAACCAGAAACCCAAAGATTATGCTAATTTTGATGATTTGGTCTTTGGTCGCGCCCTTGCACGGTACAGATGCTGTATCTTCCATTTAGGCTGGTCTGTAAGTTAATCAATTTCGAGAAATCCAGTCTTTCGGTAAGACTGCTGCTCCATCTTTTGATTGAAACTCGTCTACAACAATATCAGCGAAGCAGCCAAATCGTTAAGGGGAAAAGCAGACTCCGAGTTCTCTTCTGAGAATCCGGTGAGAAGGGTTCACTAGTTTGTCACGACCTGAAGACCTATTTTACGACCTTAAATTCTCCACACCCCTGCTTAATATAATATATCTTTGAGCGCTGAGCGAGCACACATTACTCTGCCAGCCTTGAATTACCAAGAAAATAACGGATTGTTTTTGCAAATGCGAAAGCCACGTTGTACCACTGGTCGTAATGTTTTCGTCGTGAGGAAGAAGTCGATTGCAGCTAATCTGCATATCGCTTCCGGTTTCCCAATGCAAATCACGACGTGGGAGAGATTTGGTCTAGTTGGTTTAGTTCTACGTTGACAGTTCTGCCCTCATCTATTTATCAATAGTTTACAGTAGCTAACGATTTTCCACCACATTCAGTTTCTTTTCTAAGGACCAACTCCCACAATAAACTGCAGCACACTTGGGGGTCCTACCTTCAATGGTTGTGTAGAATTCACTGACGCATCCCTCTTGAGATGGGCCGTGTATCCGACCACCA